GTGTCTAAAAATGTTGACATAATGCATGCAGTAGAAATGGAGAGCGCTGTTGTAGTACTTTTGCAAACATCGAGATTCTGTTTGATGATTAGATGCTGCTAAGAATCAGTAGGACAGTGTCATGGCACCAGTTATAGCAGGGGTGGTCCCCCTGTCTACATTTCCTGTCAGCAGCATCTTAAGGTGCATGGGGCAGCTGCGCTCACTTAGGCTTTGCAGAGATGTAGAAGCTCAGCGAAGTCAGATGTTTATGAGGCAGCCTGCAAAACCCATTAGTAAGCGAGAGTTGGAGACCGCAGGAGGGCTGTGCGGGTGGGGTGGGCAGGTGAGCGTGTGCTCAGAGGGGAAGCTGAGGAGGGAGTGAGGAGTCAGTGGTGTGAGAGGCTTAGGACATGTGGGGTGGCCCAGGAGTGGTGCTGGAAGCTGGGTGTCAGAGGTGCCTTGCAGTGTGGGCTCTGTCAAGAGCAAAGAGGGGTGGGAGAGGGCAGGGACCAAGAGACCAGAAGAGAGTGCTAGGTAGGTGTCCATGGGGAGGGGTGGGGCACCTACCATGCAGATGAGGGACAGCGCTAGCTTCAGCTGGCCGAGGGGCAGACACGGGCCCCTTCCCTGTAAGGCCTTTTGGGGATGCAAAGTCCAGTTGAGCCAAGGGGTGCACAAGCAGAGAGGCTGTAGTCAGCAGCATAGGGGTAGAAATCAAGAAGCCAGGCAGGAGAGCATGAGAGGGAGACCCTAAAAGGGGAGCACTTAATTCTAGCCACTCAGGAGGCTGAGGCAGGAGAATTACCAATTGGAGGCCAGCCTGAGCCTGGTTTACTGAGACCCCAACTCAAAGGTGAGAAAGACTGCAGTGTGGCTCGGGTAGAGCACTTGCCGAGCTAGCGTGAGGCCCTGGGTTCAACCTTGGCACTGCAAATAAAGCTGGGGACAGGCTCCGTTCACAGCCGTAACCGCTGCTTCTCCCTGTCAGGTCCGAGACCTGTTTGCGCTTGCCCGGAAGAACGCCCCTTGCATCCTCTTCATTGACGAGATCGATGCAGTGGGAAGGAAGAGGGGCCGTGGCAACTTTGGGGGGCAGAGCGAGCAGGAGAACACGCTCAACCAGCTGCTTGTGGAGATGGATGGTGGGTGAGCTGCTCTGCTGGGGATGTGAGGAGGGGGGCTGTGTCACAGGCCCTGCGGAAACACTCCTGTGCGCAGAACGCAGGTCGTCTTGCCCGGCCGCTTGCGTAGCTCAGTGGTGGAGTTAAGAAGCTGGAGTAGGAGAAAGCTGGGTAAAGTGATGCACACAAGAACTACAGTCACAGTCATCTGTGATCCTGAAGGGTTAGGCAGCACAGCCGTGGGCAGGCGTGACCCAGTGAAGCTGAAGTCCTGCCGCTTGGAGACTTTCTGTGGGCTGAGAGCGGTTGACCTGCTCACCTGCCATGCATCAAAGCTTCCCATGCAGCACAGGGCCAGGTACCAGCTGGGCCCCCACAGATGCCACCAGAGGGGTCCACACCATCATCCCAACCTGATTGTCCCACGCTGTTGGTGTCTTGGAGTCCTGTCACAGCCTGTCAGTTCACAGGGATAACACTTGGCGAATAATCATATACATCCAGAGCCTGTTACCCAGTGCGTGGCTCGCGCAGCGGGATGAGGGTAGTAATAAAGTAACTGCACGGGAAGCCATGCACAGTCTCAGCCACAGGCGTCTCCGTCCCCTGCCTGCGTCTCCTCACAGTGATGCTTGCTTCTCCCCCTAGGTTTTAACACAACAACAAATGTGGTCATCTTGGCGGGCACCAACCGGCCGGACATCCTGGACCCGGCGCTGCTGCGGCCTGGCCGCTTTGACCGGCAGATCTTCATTGGTGAGGGGCTCGCCCTGCGGGGGTGCTCGGATGTTCCGTGTGGTGGTCTCTCTCTCTGACTTCCTTCCTCAAAATCTTTCTAAAGGACCCCCAGACATAAAAGGAAGGGCGTCTATTTTCAAAGTCCATCTCCGGCCCCTGAAGCTGGACGCTGCACTGGAGAAGGAGAAGCTGGCCCGGAAGCTGGCATCCCTAACCCCGGGGTTTTCAGGTGAGCTCCATGTGGCTGGTGTCTGCTGCTAACTACGAAACGTTGCCTTGGTTATGGGGTTTCCGCCCAGAACCTGGAGAGGCAGTGTGTGGGACCCATCAGGACCCGTCACTAGCCTCCAGCCTCGGTCCAGCTGCCGGTTCAGGTCCAGATTCTTCCTGTGCCCTGTAGTACATTAGGACCAGTTCCTGACCATGCATCATTTTACCTGTAACTACTGTGGGAATAATTCCCAAGTGATTTTCCTTTGAAACTGTTCTATTGAGATAAAACTAACACACGGCACTCTGGGAGGCTGAGGCAGGGGGATCACCAGTTTGAACCCAGTCTGGGCAACTAGCAAGATCCTGTTTGAAAATGGAAAGGGTGCTGGGACCGTATAATGTGTACAACCCAGTGGTTTTAGTGTGTTTGCAGAGCCGTGTGGCCCCATCTAGGCCCACACTGCTGGAACCTAGTCGTGGTTCTGTAGCTTTTCCTGCTCTGGATGTGGTACACACGTGGAATTGTGCAGTGCGCATCTGGCGCGTGTCCACTCAGCCCGCTGTGCAGTTGTCCGTGTTGTCGTGCATCTGCCTTCATCCCTTCTCGGGCCACAGCGTAGCCTTGGGTGGATGTCCATGTCTTGTGTCCCGTTCGTCACTGGTGGACAAGGGGGTGGTTTCCACCCTGAGCCGTGACGAGTAATGCTGTTCGCCCTCACCCCCAGTTCTGTGTGGACGCCTTTTCACATGTGCTCTGCCTAGGAGGAGTGCGTTGCTAGGCCCCATGATAAGTCTGTGCTTAGCTTTTCCAGGAACTGCTCGGCTGTCCCGAGGTGGCCGCCCCGTTTCATCTTCTGGCGTTTTCTCCGTGTCCCGGGCAGCGAATGTTCTCTCTCTCTTGCTGGTGTAGGGCGGTGGCATCTCACTGTGGTTTGGACTTGCATTTCCCAAGTGACTCGTGATGTGGAGCATCTTTCTTCTGCTCATCCCGGGGTTTTACCTCATCACCTGTCTCCTCCTAAACGTAAAACGAATTGAGAAATTGAGGATATCACATGCAGCTGGACAGTCAGGAGGTGGTCATCCTTGACTGACCAGGAGTCCTGAATTTTTACTTGTTTCTTACATTTACTGAGCACATATATTGTGCTATAGTTTTTTGTATTCCTGTGTTATTTAATCTGAAAAATTAATTTAAGAGGACTTGTGGGTCTAAAAAGCATGTGGTGAGTTTCACATATTTTAGTTATTTAAATTAATGTATTAGGTCATCTTAATGCTTATCAATTTATATAAGCATTTCACCAGGCGTGGTGGTACACACCTGCAATGCCAGCCCTTGGGAGGATGAGGCAGGAGGGTTGTTGTGAGTTCAAGGCCAGCCTGAACTACGTAGTGAGACCCTGTCTCAAAAAATAGTTTTTTTAATTACATAAGCAGTTTGCTCTTGAGTCGTTTTCCCAGTGGAAAAGGTGGAATTAAGTCAGTGGTGTTTCTGAGTTCTTCATTTGCTGGTACATGAGCCGAGCATCTGTTGAGGTCAGCAGTTGTCTGCAGTGACCTCTTACTGCTCCCCGCCTCGTTCAGTTCAGAGGGCAGGGTTGTGCAGGATGACCGATGGCCGGACGTGCCTGGTGATTATAGTGAAACCAGGCGGAGTTTCCACAGCCCCATGGTGTGCGGTGTCCTCCGTGCGTGGGGCGTGAGCCAGTCTGCGCATGCCCTGGAGGGTGAGCTGGTGTGCGTGTTCCTGACAGGAGCCGACGTGGCCAACGTGTGCAACGAGGCTGCCTTGATTGCAGCGCGGCATCTCTCAGACTCCATCAACGAGAAGCACTTCGAGCAAGCCATCGAGCGTGTGATTGGAGGTAAGGCGCAGGGGAACCTCCGCAGAGGCTGGGCGGGCAGGCTGCAGCCAAGCTGTCTCCCTGCCTGGGGGGCCGGCCACGCGCTGGGTCTGTGCCTGCCCCCCGCCAAGGCAGGCAGAAGCTCACCTGTTCACAGCGCTGCTGCTCAACCCAGAGACAGGGTTATTTGGGAGTAGGGTAGCAAACCGAGAAGATGAGGTGAGCCTTGCTACACCGAGGGAGGATGCTGTGTTTTCTCAGAGAAGCAAGTCCTGATCTCAGTGGTGGCGTGCCTGCTTAGTGACCCGTCCCCAGCCCCGAAGAAGGTCAGGAGAAGGTACTCCCCTGTAGAAACAGAGGCCTGGATGCCTCTCCTTATAACCTTTGCCTGGAGCTCTGTGAAAGTCTTGTCTTGGGCTATGTCTAGGGAACTTTTTTAAACATCTCCAGTCTTGTTAGTATATTCTCAGTTGAAAATCTCAGGTGAGTGACCTTGGATGCCAGAACTACCTTTGTCATGGTGTGGTGATTGAGTTAGGACCAGCTATGGAGACTTCAGAGCCACTCCACCCAGGTGCGAGCAGAGGTGCGCTCAGCTTGAAGTGCTTGGCCCTCCTTGTCCTGGGTACCAGCATGGCGCCTCTGGACTCTGCCTATGGGGTTCACATCCTTGTTCATCCTGCTCCCTGGCGGACCGCCCTTTGGGCTTTTGGGTAGGGCATATGCCCAGCACTGCTCATCCAGCTCTGTTCAGGCATTGCCAGACCTGTAGCCCACTCGGCACTTTGTTGTCCACTGTCCGTCAGAGACAGAGAGAGGTTGGCTGCTTGGGCAGGCGTCTCCTTTGACAGGACTTGGTGATTCTGAGTGCCGAGGCTCGGCAGGGAGCGCGTTCCCGGCGCTCTGTGTCTCTGTGAATCTGATGTTTGGCGTTTCTTCTCACCTCCCCAGCCGGGATGGGGTGTAGTAGAGGGGAGGAGTGTCCGGCTAGAGCGGGGCCTGGGGGGGATGGTGCTGCTGACAGCATTTGGTAACTGTCACACTCGACCTTTGCTCTACCCTGACCTGCACGAGGAATTCTGGGATTGCCATAGGCTGCTTAGTCCCTCAGCAAACCTGAGAAGTGGAATGTGGAGCGTAGTGTAACTGTTTTCAACGTCAAGTCCCAGGAATGGTGGGTGGGTTTTGTTTTGTTTTTTTTTCCCGTCTTTTTGAGACAGGGTCTCACCATGCAGTTCAGGCCAGTCTTGAGCACAGCCTTGTAGCTCAGGCTGGTGTCGAACTTGCAATGATCTTCCTGCCTCAGCCTCCCAGAGTGCTGGGATTACAGGCATGCGCCACCACGCCCAGCAGGTGGGTTTTCTCTTACTTGTTAGGCTTGGAGAAAAAGACCCAGGTCCTGCAGCCTGAGGAGAAGAAGACGGTGGCGTACCATGAAGCAGGCCACGCGGTTGCCGGCTGGTACCTGGAGCACGCAGACCCTCTCTTGAAGGTGAGGCCGCGTGGGCAGGTGGTCAGTAGAGAAGCGCTGCCGGCAGGGTGCGAGTCAGTGTAGGCATCTGTCCAGGCACACAAGACGCCTGAACAGAGCAGAGCTGTGCTGGGGGACTCACTGTGGACAGTGCGGCCTTGGCAGTGCGACGGGCAGTGCTTGCTGTCACCACCACAGCACGCAGGAGGTGGCAGAGGGATAGAAGAAGCTGCGATGAAGAACTCGGAGGCCAAGACCCAGATCTGCGAGAAGCTGCCAGACCCCGGGCTGAGTGCACAGCCAGGCCGCACCCCCCACCCCCAACGAGAGCTGACAGGGCACCTGCCCTGAGTGAGTGTGCAAGGGAGTGCGTTCCCCAGCCAGGCCAGCAGATGGCAGCAGAGGCCGCCCACACCCGCTGTGGGAAGACTCCTGGAGGTTGCGGGGGCCTTGGGAGCAGGGACACTGTAGAGGGGCCACGTGAGCGGGCACAGGCAGCCACCCCGACCCTACAGGCCCCTGCAGCCAGGGGCTGAAGTCAGCAGGTTACGGAATGTAGGTCAAAAGCACGAAGAGAAGTCGTGTTTCTGTAGATCAACAGTGAACCATTCGAAAATGAAGTTTTAAAAATTCTCTTCCAAGCGTGGCATGGTGGAGTGTGCCTATAATCCTAGTACTCTAGGAAGCTGAGGCGGGAGGGTCACAAATCTGAACCCAGCCCGTACAACTTAACTACTTAGGGAGTCCCTGGCTCACAGGAATAAATATGAACAGCAACTGGGGATATAGCTTAGGAACCTGAGTTCTCTACCCAATACCAGGGGAAAAAAATCCATGTTTGCGAACACCCTAAAACATGAAATATGAAATATTTAAAGAAGATATGTGAAGGGCTTGTATACTGAATTATCGAGAACTAAAAATAAAAATACAGTGTCACAGAATGTTATGTAAGTTCTCCCCAGACCTGCAGAGTTGGGCAGGGTGCAGCAGCATGCATCTGTAATCCCAGCTACTAGGGAGGCTGAGGCAAGAGAAGCATGAGTTTGAGGCCAGCCTGGGCAAGATAGTGAGAGCTTGCCTTAAAAAAAAATGGTCCGTAGTTTCATTGCAGTCTCTGACCATCGTTACGGCAGAATACTTTGTAGAAGTTGTGAAGCTGAGTCTAAAGTTCTGTGGGAGTGTAAGTGAACTGGAACAGCCAAAACAGAGCTGAAGGGTCTTACTTCCCAGTTTGGGGTCATACGCAGCTGCAGATGCAGATGGAGGCCCTGGCGAGAGGACTGGACAGGGGCCATTGGACATTCGTTGTCCACAGAGGGGTGCGGGGCCACGTCATTGTCAACAAGGAGCCAGCCCCACTCCAGGGTGGAAATGTGGTCTGGTCAGAAGGTGATTCTGGTATCAGGAGTCCTGTGAGAAAGTGAACCTAGCCCCTTAAGGTCACATGCAAAAACAGCTTGCAGTAAGTCCTGAGAGCTGGCCCTACAACATTTCCAAAGGCAAACACAGGTAGAAGTCTTTGTGGCCTTGAGTATGCAAAGTTCTCAGAAGTTGATAAACTGGATCTCTTAAGAGTAAACACTTCCTTGTGTTTGAAAGACCCTTTAAGAGAACGGAAAAGGCAACCACACAGCCTGACAGTTTGCATGTTTATGACAGGGGACTGTGTCCACCGTAGGTGGCTGTCAGTAACTGCTAACACTCCTTGAGAACGTGTGAAGCCGGTAAAACAGTGGGCAATGTTGCTGGACGTGGTGGCCCACACCTGGGAGGCCGGGGCAGGATTGCTGCGAGCTTGAGGCCAGCCTGGCCTACATGGTTCAGAGGCAGCCTGAACTACATAGTGAGACCCTGTCTCAAAACAAAACAACGGGCTGGGGATTTAGCTCAGCCGCACAGCGCCTGCCTGGCAAGCGTGAGGTTGTGAGTTCAATTCCTGATACCGAAAAACAAAACAAAACAAAACAAAAACCAGAAAAACAGTGAGTGAAAGATGTGCACATGCACTTCACAGAAGGGCTGGGAGTGGGTATTCAGTGCCTAAAACAGTCCTGAGAATGTGCGGGGAGTTACACATCAAATCGCGGTGAAATAATAAAGTGCCAAACACACACACCCGAGTGGTTAGAGTTCTGTGCCCGGCCTTGGCCTTGGTAAGGATAAGGAGCCATTGCACCCATCTGTGTAAACAGTGCAGCCACTTGTGAAAAGTTTCTCATTTCTTAGAAAGGTGAACCCTTGCAGATGACCAGGCAGCCCACGCTCTGCCGTTTACCCAGGAAGTGAAAACGTCCGCACACAGATCGGCACCGCTTTGTTCACAGTGTCCATAACCCAAGCACAGTGGTGTCCATCGGGGAGGAGGCGGACATCTAAGTCCCTTACACGGGTGCACGGCAGTGTGGGTGACGTGCGGACTCGGGGAAGGGGCCCGACCTGCATTGATAAGCAGACACAGGAGGTGCAGGGGCCAGGAAGGAGAGCCTGGCTGCAGGAGAGCGCCAGGGAGCTGGGGGCGAGGTGACAACGTTCTGTACTGCCATTGCGCTCAGAAGCTGTGCTCATCAGAGTCCATTGAGCTTCGTACTTAAAATAGGTAGTTCTGCCCTGTAGAACCAACTCCCAGTCAGGTTGACTTTAAAAGCTGAAAGGAGGGCCGGGGATACAGCAAAGCAGCACGGTGCCTGCCTGGCAAGTACGAGGTCCTGAGTTTGATTCCTGAGGCAAAAAAACCCCCAAAAACCAGGTTAAAGGAATTTGTTTATCTGCAAAAAAGGGGCCAAGAGAGGCAAAGGAGGCCTCGGAGCTGCAACTGTGGCCTGTCCCTTCTGACGGAGGCAGTGGCTGCTGGCGCAGAGCAGTTGGACTCTGCTGCCTGCCTCACCAGGGCGCCATTCGTGGAACCTGAGTGGTCTCAGTTGAGTCTTGGAGAAGGACAGGAAGTCCTGTGCAGAGCTTGAGGTGCCGGCTGGTCTGTGTGCTCCTGTCCCCAGGCTGGGCCCTGTCACTCCTAGTTGTCTGGACACACTTCTGATCGGGCCTGTTTGCAGCGGGCTGTTCGGCACACACGTTCTCTCCTTCCCAGGTGTCCATCATCCCCCGTGGTAAAGGCCTAGGCTACGCCCAGTACCTGCCCAAGGAGCAGTACCTGTACACCCAGGAGCAGCTCCTGGACCGGATGTGCATGACCCTGGGCGGCCGAGTCGCCGAGGAGCTCTTCTTTGGGAGGATCACCACTGGTGCCCAGGACGATCTGCGGAAGGTCACGCAGAGTGCCTACTCCCAGGTGAGCTGGCCAGGCTCTGCACGCTCGTGTGCCCACTGCCTGCGAGCTGGCTTCCAGGACAGTCCCTGTTTCCTGGCTTGGGGTTTCTTGGCAGGGCTACTTCCTAGATCCGTGGTGAAGCAGTCAGAGTTTCTGAAAAGAAACTTTATACTACATTATTTGAAGTTTACGTTCTGAGGTCCTGTCCTGCACAGGATGTGTGTGGAGGCAGCCTGTGTGACCTGCAGCAGGCCCTGCCCCTCCCAGTCCTCTGGAGCAGCCTCTCCTGACGTGTGAGCCTTGTTTCCTTTTGCAGGAACTTTTCTCCTCTTTTCCCTGGCGTCGGTCCAGATGGTGGGCTTTGCTTTTGCTGTCTTTGGATGCAGTGTGAGTGGCCTCCTTCAGGAACTGCTGCTCCCTGCACCACACTCTTATTTGCTTGGCACTTAATTAATTATAATCTAAGGGATTTTTTTAAGTGGGGCTTTTTTTTGGTAACAGGGTCTTTTTTATGTAATGCGGGCTGCCCTTGACCTCACTAGGTAGCTCAGGCTGATTTCACACTCAGCGGTGATCTTCCTGCCTCAGCCTCCTGATTGCTAGGATTATAGGTGTACACTAGCATGTCCAACTAAAAAATGTTTTTTCCAGTCATTTTTAATCTGACATTTTCTCTTAGGTCTTCATGATAGTTCGTTCTTATTCCTTTTTTAGTTTAATACCTGCTTTAAGAGCAGTTTTTCTCCTAAGGTAATGCTTTCCTGCACCACAGCACCTCGGTTTTCCTAGGTTGGACCCACGGTTCTCGCCATTTTCCATCACTCTCCTGTCTCCTCAGCTGTCGGGGAGGACGGCGCGGCGTCCTGCGGTGTGGCGCAGCGTGCGGTCCACTCCCCCTCTGCTGGGGTTGCTCTGGGTCTCACCCTTTGCTCCTGGAGCTGGCTGTCTGCGTGAAGTGGGGGTGGGGAGGGGCAGGCCGTGGCCCTCCGTGTGGCACCAGGCGGTCACTGTGCCGCTGCCGCTGGGCTCTCTGCTTCTGCCCCGCTCCTCCCTGGTCAGCCACGCAGTGCTGCTTCCCGTGTGGCACTGGCACAGCGGGTGCTCACGGAGTCATGCGGGTCAGCCTCCCTGCTGTCCTGAGGCCCCTGCGCGTGGGAATGGTGTGCAGGACACGCAGCCACCCACGTCTCCTTTCTCAGGTTCCCAGGCTCACACGCTTCTGCCTGTTGGGCTGGGCTTCTCTGCCTCCCCCACGGCCTCCTGTTCTGAGGGTGTCGGGCCCTGGTCCTGGGGAGGAGCCTGAAGCAGGACCGCCAGTCCCGTTCCCTCAGCCCCAGGACAGGAAGCCTCCCGCCCCCACCGCTGTCTTTCCAGATTGTGCAGTTCGGCATGAACGAGAAGGTCGGGCAGATCTCCTTCGACCTCCCGCGCCAGGGCGACATGGTGCTGGAAAAGCCGTACAGCGAGGCCACCGCCAGGCTCATCGACGACGAGGTGCGGATCCTGATCAGCGAAGCCTACAAGCGAACGGTGGCTCTCCTCAGGGAGAAGAAGGCTGACGTGGAGAAGGTGGGTACCCATGGCCGGGCCTCCCCCGTGCGGTGCTCGTGGCAGTGCGGGCCTTCTCGGCGCTGGGCTGCAGGCCCCCTCCGGCTCTGGCTCCACCTTGCTCGGTGAGTGGACGCCGAGCAGCCCCGGGTCCTGAGGGGCCTCCGGCCCCTCCCCGTGTGTGAGAGCAGCAGTGAGAGGTGCAGGGCAGACGGGAGGACGAGCCAGCGGGGTCTGGCCTGGGGCCCACGTGGGCTGCTTGTGGGCAGCCAGGCAGCTCTGCCCCGCAGAGGGAGGGCGGCCTCCCTACTCGACGGGCTCCTGCACTCAGCCGCCTCCCACTTCCCTCGGTCCACGCACCAGTGAGGCTGCGTTTGCTCTCAGCGTGCGCCATGCGCTGACCGGGAAAGGCCTCCTGGGAGGGGTTGCCAGACGGCGAGTGCAGTCGGCAGGTCAGGGAGAAGGGAGTTACGAGCCTGGCCTGTGTTCGGTGGCTCCAGAGGTCCAGCGTGGAGGGCAGGGCCCTAACGAGCAGCTTTAGAAGCGGCCTGTGACGCGGTGTCCAGGCCCAGCCAGGTCTCCTGTCAGCACTCGGGGAGCCAGGTCCGTCCTGCGAAGCAGCACAGCTGCCCCCGTTCCCGCACACTCCTCAGCGAGGGCCGGTAGGCAGAGCAGCAGGCCGAGTGCGAAGGACAGAGGCCTGAGCGGTCTGGGCAGCGCCCAGCGCAGGAGGGAGCAGAGGGCACGGTCTCGGCAGTGGGGCGTGCTTGCAGCTGGGTGTGGGGTCCCAGGGGGCCAGGCCTCGACTGCATTTGCTGGACTTGAGGCCGAGCCCTGCGAGAAGCAGTAGGTGGCGCTCGTGTGCCAGGGGCTCTGGGTACAGCGCTGTCGCAGGGTGGGAATCGGGACTGGGCTTGCCTTGCCAGGAGATGTGCCGTCTGTGGAGGGTGTGGCTAGAACACGGTGGGAACTCGTGCCAGAGTTGCGCGGTGCATCCTGTCCTTAAGGGAAGGTCAGCTAGGAGGCATTGGTCAGGGAGGCGGGGTCCGTGGCACAGAGGGGCTGGGCCTTTCTGCTCCAGGGCCTCCGAGTCCTGGCCTCAGGTTCCACGTCCGTGGGCCAGGAGCTAGGCCGGTGTGCTTCAGACTGGCAAGGGCAGCAGCATCCAGAGAGCTTGCAGCCTTGCTCATGGCGGCAGAGTCAGGCCCTTGCAGGTGCCATGCTACCCTAGGGTGTGACCCTGGTGGTGTGTGGCTGCCGAGCTCTGCCGTTCTGACGGCCAGGTGCTGTGACTGGGGAAAGACTGTGAGGAGCTCAGGGCTTCGCCTCACGGGTTGCGACAGGAATGTGGTTGGCACTGTGGGCTAATTGTGCTTCATTCGGAGTAACTTAGCCACCCACTGTTACGGCAGAATTCGGGTTATGTTCCATAAGAGACTGACTCTGTTGAGAGTAAAACAGTTTAGTTTGAGGCTAGCCACCCTTCATGCCTGATTGGCAAGGGGTCTGCCTTTGTTCCCACCTTATACACATTTTTGGTTTCCATGGTAACACATTGGAATGTTGTAGCTCTGGCCACACGTTGTTTTCCTTGTGCCATGTGACCGGGTCAGGCCCTGGTCATGAGCCCAGCCACAATGATATATACTTTCTGTACTCTGTTCTGTATGTCCCCCTTAGATAACCGTACATCTCCTTTATGGTTACAGTGTTTATCTAGGGCCAGGGAAGGGATGGAACAGCCCAGGCAGGGCCATAGGTGGTTATCTGGGCCCGGGTGTGCTTTGTCTTTGGAGAAGCATTCCGGGCCAAAGTCAGGACTGCAAAGTTAACTTTTTACAATCCCTCCAGGGTGTTTCTCAAGATACATTTTGAGGCTTGCATTAAGACTAGAATTATTCTATCTTAAAACGATATGCTAAGAGTCGCCATTCCCTACACACAACTGCGTTACATATTTATATCTACTTGAAATGTCTCATTAAAAAGTTTAAAAAACAAGAAAGAAGAAAATTCACTCTTTCACGTCTTCTAATGGTGTAGCCTTGTTGTGAGCTCAGATACAGGAAAGCTATAGGCAGGAAGTCAGCCCAGGCGCTAAGCAGCCTGTGTCCAGGTCAGTTAGATCCAGCTGCTTGCTCGGTGTCCTTCAGGGTCAGCAGGCCTCATGTCCCTGTACCTGTTGCTGGCTGCTGGGTGTCGCTGTCTCTGTCTCCCTGTGGCCTGTGAATGCGTGGTGTCAGCAGCAGAACCTGAGGCTGTGCGTTTTGTCCTTGCCTCTGCCTCGGTTCTCTCCGCGCCTGTGCCGCTTGTTTCTGCCGCTCGCCACCCACCCTGGCTCCGCCTGCCCCTCCAGGAAGCACCGCGTTCCATTAAACAGCTTCAGCAGTTCGTTTTCCCATATAGAAGCAATGTTACAGGAACTTCAGACAAAAGCTTTTAACAAGTTGAGCAAAGAGCAGTTCCCAAATGTAGCACTGCTCAAACCTGCCGAGATCCAGAAGTGGAGAGATGGAGAGAGCTCCGCCGGCCAGAAGCTGCCCCGGTCACAGGCCCAGGTGCGCTTGGCTGGCTGTGAATGACAGGCGCAAATCCGGGTCCCTCGCCAGCAGCACCTCACCTGAGTCAGGCTCCAGGTGAGGAGCCGACGTAAAAACAGTCACTCACCTGGATGGGAGAGCAGCGCAGCCTGTTGCGCCTGGGGTGTTTGCCCTGCTCCCCGGAACATGTGCGTGGGGTGCTGGGAACAGTGCCCTCATCCTCATCACAGGCGCCTGTGTGCCAGCGCCTCACTCACCAGGGACGTGGGCTGTTGCCACTGCTGGGTGCAGCTCACTCCAAGATCACCCGGCCTCCTCCACGGGCCGCCGTTCCCAGTTATCCTGGCCCCTTAGGAATGAGCTCAGCCCTGAATGCATTGCTTTTGCATAGACTTTGCTAAGTCACTTGCGTTTAACGGAGATGGTTTGTATTTCAGGTTGCGCTTCTGTTGTTAGAGAAAGAAGTTTTAGATAAGAACGACATGATTGCTCTCCTGGGCCCCAGACCATTTGCGGAAAAGTCCACGTATGAAGAGTTCGTGGAGGGCACGGGCAGCTTGGACGAGGACACCTCGCTGCCAGAGGGCCTGAAGGGCTGGAACAAAGAGCGGGAGAAGGAGGAGGAGCAGCCCTCGGACCAGAAGGGCGCCAGCCAGACGCACACAGGTCCCAGGCAGCCACTGTAGTCGCCGCAGCACCTGTGTGACGCTGCTCCAGCTCAGGCTGGCGAGAGGGCAGTGGGCCCTGCTGAGCCTCTGTCTCAAAGTCACGTCTAGGGGACAGGCAACTTCCGGGAGGCCGGCGGAGCCTGGCGACCCCGCGTGGAGCAGCGGGCCGGGCAGGGCGGCCTGTGGAGCCTGCGTGTGGAGGGGCGGGCTTCTCTCCGCCTCCGTGCTGCATTCCTCTTTTCTTGGTTTCTCTCTGCAGACGGCCGTGGAATTCAATTGGAGTCCTGATGGGAATATTGTGATTTAACTTAATGTTTTACTGCTTCGATGAATGGTTTTCTGTAGAGAGCTGTAACATACTTAAAAATGTGAATGTATTGTGTACATATGGCTTCTTTACATCAGAAATAAATGTGAACACTGTATTTTTTTCCTGAGCACACAGACGTCACGTTTATGTTCTATTACAGCAGAAGAGACTGAAGCTCCAGAATCTCTGTCGGGGTCCCGTTGTTGTGGCAAATGAGCTTGAGTCAGCCACGGAGGCCGTGTGCAGAGATAAGTTTATTGGGGGCTGGCAGAGGGCAGCCAGTACATGACCAGGCACCAACCCCGAGGGGCAGGAGGGGAGAACAGACACACAGGTCTAGTTCCTGGTCTAGTTCTGGATCTGGCGGGGTGCAGCTGATACGATTTAGTGCAGCTGCAGAAATACTGCAAAGCATGGGCTTGTGACAAAGGAGCAGAGGTGTTTGATGTTTCACATAGGGGCAGGCAGGGGGTGGCATTGGGTTAGGGAACTATGATAACATTTACAAGAAACAAACTTAAGGAAACACAAACTTAAGCTTTACGGCACGGAACACAAAATGGCATTGGTTTAGTTTTCCTTCCCATGTCGCGTGGGCCGAGTCGGCACTGTGTGCCATTGTGGTCCCGTGTGAAGTGTGGGGCAGAGCATCACGCGTCCTGGTAACCAGGCCCTGCTGCCCTGTGACAACGTAGGCCACACCGTCCGGGCCACAGCTGCCTGACAGGCTCTGTCCAGAGTCGTGACCTGGTTTCAGAGGGGTCAGCGGGGACCTGGGGGGTCAGAGTCTGCAGAGGGGCGGCCCAGGACACTGCCAAGGCTTCCAGTGCCATCCCTTGGACTTGAGGTGCCCGTCGCAGACACACTTTACAGGCGTGTGTTTCAGCGCCCTCCCTTGGGGTTATTCAAACTTCTTGTGTGTTTGGTGACTTCAGATTTAAGGCAGAATCTGGTGGGACCCTAGACCATGGGCCGGGAGTTGGCCCAGGCCATGCATGCCCCATCCCGTGCCCACTCTCCTGAGCAGCCCAGAGATGACTCCTGGGGACCTCACAAAGCCCGCATGCTGTACAGAACGGGGTCTTGCAGCTGGGCCCTTTGCCCACATCTCCGCTGCACCAGCACCGTGCGGAGATGGGGCCTCTGAGGCAGCCAGGTGGAGCCTGAGGGGGCTTGGTGTTTGTTCCCACACGAGAGGAGCTGTGGTGGGCAGAGGCACTGGCGTGTGCCGGGTTCTCCCAAGCCAAGGTGCCAGTGGTGAGTGAGACCCAGGTCAGAAGGGAACTGCAGCCGACACGGCATCACGGTGACACTCAGGAGCTGGACCTGGAGTTGCGGTTCTGCCCTGGGAGGGGTTGTGTGTGTGGTGGGCTCCCGCAGCGGGTGCCCAGCCTGCCTCACTCCTGCAGGGGCAGCAGTGAGCTGGAAAGAGGTCTGTGCTGTCCACAGGCCACACTTTGGGTGCACAGGAAGCCTAAGTCCACCGAGCTGGCACTGCACGGGTCCTTCCTGGACAGCGGCCTGTGTCTCTCCCCGGCCTGCCAGCTCTGCGCAGGACAGCTCGGTCGCCTGCCCTTGCTTGGTGGCAGTGGCTTCTTGGGCACCAGTGGATGGGAGGGTCTGGGGCTGCCTGGAGCCTTTGCATGGGATGAGCAAGGTGCTGAAGCAAAGCCGCCCCTCCCTGCTGCCACTGTAAATGGGGCCAGCCCCGGGCGGGGACTTGGGGGTGTCTCGTGCTGGCTGGTCCAGGTATGGTGACCTGGGTGGGGGGGCACGAGCCAGAGCCCTCCCCCCGGGCGCTGCCTGTCTGGAAGGCCAAACCTGGCAGGTGGGAGGAGCCTGGGCCCGAATGGGGTGCATGTGGGCAGTGTGGGGTGCGGCCCAGTGGCTGAGGTGCTGCCTACCTGTGGGCTCCCCCCCGGCAGGCACTGCAGAAACACGTCAAGGGCCAGGAGGGCTTCATCTGCGCCCCTCTGCTCCAGGCCCGGGGAAATGCAGCTGCTCCCAAAGCCCCAAGATGGGGAGCGCCCTGCTCACTGTCCTGCACCCCGGAGAGCCCTGTGGCCCACGGCCATGCAAGCAGGACCACGCTGGACGCCGCGGAACAACACGCTGTTTATTGAGAGGAGCGCTTCCAGGGCCCACAGGGCAGATTCCATAAGGCAGCGCTGGGCCACTTCAGCCTCAGCCTGCAGGGTAGGCCACCTCCGCCCAGCGCTGCTGCACTGCCTCAGCCTCCCGAGGCCATGGGACGCCCGCCCTCCCACCCGCCACTCTCCCTGCAGCACTCTGGCCTGCATCCTGCGGTCAGCGTCCCTGCTGTGACCACCCAGCCGTCGGGGCCGAAGGACAGCAGGTGCACTCAGCCTCTACTCCTGGACCTCCTCCTCGCCCTCCTCGAAGGCCTCATCCCCACCGCTGGCCGTGGCGTCCTGGTACTGCTGGTACTCGGACACCAGGTCGTTCACGTTGCTCTCGGCCTCGGTGAACTCCGTCTCGTCCATGCCCTCGCCCGTGAACCAGTGCAGGAAGGCCCTGCGCCGCAGCATGGCCGAGAACTGCTCCGAGACGCGCTTGAACAGCTCCTGGATGGCCGTGCTGTTGCCGATGAAGGTGGCCGACATGGTGAGCCCGCGCGGCGGGATGTCGCACACGGCCACCTTGACGTTGTTGGGGATCCACTCCACGAAGCGGCTGCTGTGCTTGCTCTGGGCGGCCAGCATCTGCTCGTCCACCTCCTGCATGGACACGCGGCCGCGGAAGACGGCAGCCACGGTGAGGAAGCGGCCGTGCCGCAGGTCGCAGGCGGCCATCATGTTCTTGGCGTCGAACATCTGCTGGGCCAGCTCGGGCACCGTCAGGGCGCGGTACTGCTGACCGCCCCGCGCCGTCAGGGGGGCGAAGCCCGGCATGAAGAAGTGCAGGCGCGGGAAGGGCACCATGTTCACGGCCAGCTTGCGCAGGTCTGCGTTCAGCTGGCCCGGGAAGCGCAGGGACGTGGTCACCCCGCTCATGGTGGCCGACACCAGGTGGTTGAGGTCGCCGTAGGTGGGCGTGGCCAGCTTGAGGGTGCGGAAGCAGATGTCGTACAGCGCCTCGTTGTCGATGCAGTAGGTCTGGTCCGTGTGCTCCACCAGCTGGTGCACGGACAGCGCCGCGTTGTAGGGCTCCACCACGGTGTCCGACACCTTGGGCGAGGGCATGACGCTGAAGGTGTGCACCATGCGGTCGGGGAACTCCTCGCGGATCTTGCCCAGCAGCAGTGTGCCCAGCCCCGAGCCCGTGCCGCCGCCCAGTGAGTGTGCCAGCTGGAAGCCCTGAAGGCAGTCGCAGCACTCACACTCCCGCCGCGCCGCGTCCAGCACTGTGTCCGCCAGCTCCGCGCCCTCCGTGTAGTGGCCCTTCGCCCAGTTGTTGCCGGCGCCCGTCTGTCCTGCAAGAGAGCACGGGGTCAGTGGTGTCCCCTGCTGGGGTTGGGGCCGGGGGCAGACCTGAGGCAGCACGTGCCAGGCCCTCGGGCTGTCCCATCATCCCAGCGCTCCGGGACGCTGAGGCAGGATCAAAAGTTCAAGCACAGCCTGGGCAACTTGAGACTCAACAAGATCCTGTTTCAAAAATCAAAAGTGAAACAAAGGGTTGGAGGCGTCACTCAGTGTGAAAGCCCTGGATTCATCCCCAGTACAGCCGCCACCAAAAACAGCTTCGCTGCTCAATGGGGTTTTCTGGATTTTGTGTACGTCGACCATCCCTACTCGGAACTAAAACCCACAACACTCCAAAATTCAACACTTTTTGCAAATATGGCACCACAAGTGAAAAATTCCATTCCTGACTTACTTGAGAGGTGATAGTCAAAACCAAGGCATGTTAAAAATACTGTGTAAAGTTACCTTCAGTCTGTATGTATGAAGTGTGTGTGAAACACCTGTGAGTCTCGCGGGTTTTTGTTTGGTTTGGTCTTTCTTGAGACAGGGTCTCACTGTGCAGTTCAGGCTGGCCTTGAACTCACTTTGTAGCACAGGCTGTCCTTGAAGTTGCAGCAATCTTCCTGCCTTTACTTGCTTTTCACTTCCTGCATGTTGGAATTGCAGGCATGTGCCACCATGCCTGGTAAACCTCATGTTTCTTGGTGTGTGCAAATGTTCCGAAATCCAGGAAAATCTGAAATCCAAAACACTATTGGAGCTGGGTGTGGTGGCACATGCCTGTAATCCCAGCACTCGGGAGGCTGAGGCAGGAGGATCGTTGTGAGTTCAAGGCTAGCCTAGGCTACAAAAGTGAGCTCAAGGCCAGAGTGAACTGCATAGCAAGACCCTGTCTCAAAAAGACAAAAAACAAAAACAAAAACAAAAGAAAACACTGTTGGTTCTATGGTTCTTTGGATACTCAACCACTACGCTGTAAAAATATTTTCAAAACAGTAAAACTTTTTCCATGTGCATGGAGCCTCTCACTCGTCCTCTAGATCACTGTTCATTTGCCCCCTTGATGAAATGCTCAGCACAGGAGGTGGCTCGCCCGCAGTGTCTCAGCCTGGTGGGGAAGAGTGGTGTGGAGAGCTTTGTGTTTCATCTGCGGAGCTCAGTGACTAGGGATTAGGCAGGTGCTTTATGTGGGTGCGTGTGACTGGAATCTTGTCTTACAGGAGAAATGTTGACTTGGGAAATGGGCTCTTGCGTTGAGCCCTGCCTTTGTATTTCATTGTCCAATGAAGACCTAGCACTGGAGACTTGTGCCAGCTGCGGAAGGCATGCAGCCAGTGAGCACGCAGGGAAGAAGGGCCTCACTGTCCCTGGCTCCCCACGCGGCTGGTGGCGGTGGCAGTGGCGGTGGCCATGGCCGGGCCAGAGCCTGTTGTGGCCTCCCCTCCCCTGGCCTTCCCTGGTCCTCCCAGAGTTGGGGACACCTGGACGACTGGCCTCGGTGTCCTCCCTGGGGCTTAGCAGCCACCCACATCTGACCGCTCCCATGTAGCAGCTTACCTGTCAGCTGTGGCGCCCCTGCTCCTAGCACTGCTTCAGACGCTGCTGCTGCCCCTGGAGGAGGAGGGCACCCGACGTGGCTAACATCGTTAATGTCCCCAGCCCCAGTTAGCTGCGATGAACACAGCCAGCCTTCTCCAAGAGCCCTGGGTTTCAGCCCCACCATTTCCCCAGAAATGTGACGGCTGTCAGTCAAACAGCCACATGGACCAATCCACAAGCCTGAATCTGAACCAGTCAGAGGCCTGATAGAAGCGGCATTGCCCACACCTTCTCCTTAGTGAAGGGCGCTCCCTCCAGCATGTGGGCGGCACAGCCCAGGTGGCAGACTCAGGGTGGCCTGGAAATCTGCCTGTGACCCGTCTCCCGGGTAGGGCGGCCTCTGAGGTCCTGCGTCTACCCTAGGCTGGCCACACCGGGGTCATCTGGAAGGAAAAGCAGGAGGCACTAGGGGCCGCGAGCACTAAGCGCTCTGCAGACAACGCCAAGAGCAGCAGCAGCAGAGACTGCGGCCGGTGGTCACCCTGGAGCAGCGACACAAATGCAGTAGCTGGCGGGGTCTGCAGAGGCATCTGGCACCGCCTGGTGACACCAGGATCCAGCAGAGCTGCACTCTGCCCCGCGGTTTCCACCTGAGTCAGGAAAAGGGCCCTCGAGATTCTCTCGCAACATCTGCACGAAGAATGCGCACAGGGGTTGGCACGCCGCGCGTGTCCCTGACGAAATGTTCTCCACACACTGAAACGTGTTTTCAGTTGCAGGCCTCTCGTTCATTTTTAGGCTGACATCTGATTTCATAAATTCATGGTGGTACTATAAGTTATCCCTTCCAAAAAATGCAGATTGTTAACAATAGCCAATAGAATGTATTTAAAAATCCAAAATAAGCCCAGTAAGTCAAAATTGTTCTACACCCCTGTGATTACAGTGTTAAAGAGGTGTTATCTTTTGTTTTTCAATTAGTTCATTTACCCAAGGGTGAAGATTAAATATTGCCAGGATGAGACAGGCTTAGCATCAATTCTGTTGCTCTGTTTTTGCGCATATAAAAACTGTAACGTCTTGCCTGTGTTTCTATGTAAACGGGATGCTCTGTGTCCCATGGTGCTGTTCCACTCTTTGATCTTATTCTGAGGCTGGTGAAGCAGTTGTCTTTCTTCAGAGTCTGCCCTCATCTGTCAGCCAGCAGCTTACACTTGTGGGAATGACCTGAACTGCAAAGTAGTGTGTCACACTCTGCGTCAGTCGCCCCTTTCCTGTCCTGGGGTGGAAGTCAACTTCTCACTGCAACCCTCCTGTTCCTTCTGAAGCCTGGACCATGGAAGTGCTCTGCCTACCTAGCTGGCAAAAGTTAATTTTTAAGTTATTTTGTTTGTTTTTTGAGCAAGGTCTTGCTATGTAGATCGGGATGGCCTTAAACTCACTTTGTAGCCCAGGATGATCTTGAACTCACAGTGATCCTCCTGCCTCAGCCTCCCAGGTGTTGGGATTAGAGGGGTGCACTGCCATGTCCGGCCCTTAATTTAAAAAAATTTCAAAATGCAATTGAAAGACCAGGCTGTTTCTAACGGATGGGACCCTAGCAGGGCTCATGTCAGCGTTATTGCTCATGCACTTTTAACTACAACATGTAGCTTGATAGTCAATGCAAATAATACAAGACGTGTCTCCAGTCCGTGGAGGTCACTGAAAGGCACAGTGGAGCGATGCACAGGCCGTGCAGGCAGCGAACTGTGTCCACACTTCTCAGAGGATTGCAGGGCCCAGGGGGGTGATCCCACATGCCTGTGCGCCTGTGTGCACGCACGCTCTCCTCCCAGGGAGCATCTCAGGGCCGCGGAGCCGGGTGAGGGCGTCTGAGCCACACCGCACGTCGCCGGGTGTTTGTAGGAAGCAGGTGCAGGCACCTGCTCTCCACTTTGTAAATAAACCCTTCCTTGCATTTCGGTACCCAGTGAAGTTTCCGGAAGTGGAAGTGGCCGTGGGAAACAGCCCGAGTCTGGGCCCCATCCGCCCGCCCTGGGCGCCGCGGCCGAGGGCAGCTCTCCTCTGGGCAGGCCGCCCTGGCTGGGGCTGTTGCCGCCGTGGAGTCTCGAGCGCAGGTGTGGTTGACACCCACTGCTCCTCCGCGTGAACAAAGCCATTCTCCTACCTCCTACCCAGCTGAGCCACAGAGACACCTGGCCGTCTGCCTTCGCCTCCGCTGGCCAGAAAACGGTCGCTGTCCTTCCTCAGCTCCGCCAGGGCCTGTCCACGGCTCCCTGTGCAGCCCGGAGGCAGCGCGTGGGACGGCCGGGGCCTGGGGCAACCTCGCAGTCAGAGCTCAGCTCGGAACTGCGCATCACTGCGGAAGGTGGCTGAGTGCCGTCGTCAGGAGCGGGGGATTTACAACGGCGGAAAGCAACAAGCAGGAAGAGAGGTGTCTCGCGGCCGACATAAAACCTGGAGGGCCACACAGCTGCACTGAGCACGGAGACCCTGCCCTCCCTTCGCCTCCACCCTCACAGCACCCCTTGCCGCGGTCCCCTCACCTGCACGGAAGGGAGCTGCCGACTTCTGGAAATATTCACACTGTCTCATAGCGAAAGACCTTTCTAAAATATGTGGGGGTCAGGAGCCGAGCATCTTCTGTAACGACGTGCCAGGACATTTGGGGACCCAGCTCCAGGGATCCAGCTCACTGGACGCAAGGTGATAGGGTCCCAGGCCTGCGTGTCCATCCCGTCATGGGGTGACAGGTGGGATCCCCGTCTCCACGGCCCCTGCCGCCTCCTCCAGCCCCGAGTCAGGAGGGCAAAGTCACAGAGCAGAAGGAGGCTCCCCGGGCACCTCATTTGCTTCCCACGGCTGCTCTGCAAACAGCGACTCTGCAGCAAATCCCTTCCAGGGAGGGGCCAGGCTGCGGGAGCTCGACCCGAAGTGACTTTGGCCTTCGGAACTTCCCGTCACTGGCCGGCCTGCGCGAGGCCTAGTGCATCCCCAGCACCACAGACCAAAGGACAGGAGCCACCGGTGCTCCAGCTCTGTGACGCGGAGGCCCCAAGCCCTGACGTCACAGACTTACGAGGGTCTGGGGTGCGCTGACCCCGGTGCCCTGCCATGTAGTGTCACCTCCTTGCAGCGTTCTGGGCTCCTTCTCCTCAGAGCCGGGGCCAGCGTCAGACGGAGGGCACAGGTCCAGTTCCTCCGGAGTCAGCCTCCTCACCTCAGTGGATTTTACTGGCAAAATTAGCTCATCACACCAGCTAAAAAACCTGCAGCTCTCCCATGGGTAAGATGTACATGAGCCTGGGACCAAAGAGGCAGTGACCTCTCTGAGGCCTAGCTCTGTGCTGACTCCTTGGATGTCCCTAAGATAGCACTCAAACCTGTGATCCTCCTGCCTCAGCCTCCCCAAGTGCTAGGATTATAGGCATGCATCGAATGCCCAGAGATTTATGATGGCCGGGTTGGGCGCCCCTTCCTCTCTGGGGCCTGGCTTCAGTGTTGAAGGGTACAGCCTGGATGTCCTGCCTGAGGCAGCCCTACCTTGGCCGGCGGCAGCTCCAGCTGGGGTCCGGGCACCCAACCTTGGCCGGCGGCAGCTCCAGCTTGGGTCCGGGCACCCAACCTGCCCCGAGCCATGAAGCTGCTTGTCACAAGCTGGGAAGCTGAGGAGGCAGCATCCCCTCCATAGCAGCTTCCTGGTTGAAACCGATCTCAACTGAAAGTGGGGACTTGGGGAAGGTCTGTGCCGTGCCCCAGCCTCAGGCAGATGAAGAACAACTAGGATAGCTCCATGGTGACTGCCTGTCCTGCGGCAGCACCCTCGACACGGTCTGCAAAACTGCTTTTGAAGTTCACTTCGTGTCCTTGTCAGACACACACCCTTGTCTCTTTTTGTGGGTCTGGAACCCACAACACCCCACATCTATTTTTTTTTATGGTACTGGGGATTGAACTCACGACCTTAAGCTTGTCAAAGCAAGCACTTATGCCACTGAGCTAAATCCCCAGCCCAGCACCCCACATCTAAATGAGCCTGGCCTGCCACCTTCACCTGTGTGTTCTGTAAAGCTGCCTGGCCTCTCCAGGCACGGGGTACACACCTGGAATCCCAGCACTCTGGGAGGCCGAGGCAGGAGGATGGAAAGTCTGAGTCCAGCCTGGGCAACTTGGTGAGATCCCATGTCAAATGAGAAAGGAAAAATGCCTGGGCTGTGGCTCGGTGCAAGGTCCCCACTCCCATAAATAAATGCCCCCGGTCTCTCAGAAGCTGTGAAAAACCCTCCTGGCTGGTTCTGAGAACAGGATCATCTGTTTCCCTGGGTTAAATGGCTCTACCTGATGCCTTTTGGTTTTCCAATGTGTCTACACCACGGGGCTTTTCAGCCAGGACTACAGCCTTAAAATCCTCACATGCCGTGGAGCCCGCTCACCATTCCTAACCTTAAAGTCCCAATCCAGCTCTGAAAACCTCCTCCATCCTCCTGCCTCAGCCTCCCAAGTGCTGGATAACAGGCATGCGCCACCACGCCAGGCTCCCACGTGGAAAATTCTCTACCTGGCCTTGGGGACAGTCACGGTCACAGTCACAGATGCCCTGCAAACACCGTATCCACGGCCCTCTGGCTGTGCGTGGAGGTGCACGTGGAGCACGGGAGAGCTTCGTGTTGGGACCTGGTTCCGGCCCCAGACAGTTTGTCCTGTGTGGACAAAGGTCACAAGGTCAAAACTCCGAGGTACTCGGTCCCAGGCACGAGGGATGAGGGGTCCTCAGGCTGCAGTGAAATGTGTTTGTTGGCAGACTGGGATATTTCTGTTGACAAGTAAGCTTTTTCTCTTTGAGGCATGTTTCTTTGTTTATTTTTATTTATTTATTCTTTTGAGACAGTGTCTTGCTGGGTAGTTCAGGCTGGCCTTGAACTCACTATGTAGCCCAGGCTGGCCTCAAACTCGTGGCTGCCCTCCCACCTCAGACTCCTGAGTGCTGGGATTACAGGCGTGCGCCACCACGCCCGGCTGAGGCATGTTTCTTAATAAAGTGACAATTTTAAGGAATAATACACACTGCATGTAGCGTCTACCGAAGCTGTCAGCTGGGAGCTTTCCAGTCTGCCTCTCTGTGGGCTTGATATCTGTATTTTCTGTCCTTTAGGGGTTTGTGACTGTAGGTGGGTGAGGGAGGAAAGGTTGACCCGACCCGGGGGAAGTCACATGGCCTCGGCCTTCGGAAGAAAATAGTTGGCCATGTGCAGAGGATGGCAGGGAGGCGGCAGCAGGAAAGTGACGGCAGGGAGACACTGGTCTCAGTGCTGATGGTAAAAGAACCCACACGAGGCTGGCAGCCAGCGGGCTCGCTCAGGCTGAGGGAGGGGAAAGCTCACGTCTGGCGCTCTCTCCCCATCGCTCGGAGGCCTCCCCCAAGGGCTGGCGCAGCTCCGGGTGCCCCCGCCTCCTCGACATGGAGGGACAGGCTCCTCCGGGGAGAGCTCGTGTGCTTGGCTGATTTCCACCCTGGCTTTTCTAAGGTAATGTTCTCCATCTTACCCAGAAACCCACTTAATGTTTTTAAAAGGAAAGAGAGCAGGTGGGCAGAGGTCAGGCGAGCACTTGCCCAGCCTGTCTGAGGCCGATTCTGTCCCCAGCGCCACACAATAAACACGCCCGACAAGAAGAAAGCAGGCCAGCTGGGACTCACCGAAGATGAAGTTGTCAGGCCGGAAGAGCTGCCCCAGGGGCCCGGACCGCACGCTGTCCATGGTGCCCGGCTCCAGGTCCACCAGCACGGCCCTGGGCACATACTTCTGGGCTGGAGGGAGAGAGCCACCCGCAGGCATCACTCCTGGCTCCCGCAAGGCCACCAGGCTGGGTAAAAGGGGCTGGGCCAGGGTGTGAAGAGGCCCTGCCCGCTGCCCGCTGCCCGCTGCCCGCTGCCCACTGCCCGCACCCTGTGCCACTGGGAAGTTTGACTTTTTTTTTCACCTTTTCAACTCCCCGTAGCAATATCCTATTTTCTTTTTTTTTTTTTAGTTGAAGCTTGACTATGTTGACTGCGTGGAAACGGGCTGCACCTGTGGCCACAGACACACACACGCACACACACACACACACGCGCACACACACACAGCCGCGTGCTGCCACCACAACCACACCACTGTGCCCCACACCCCTGTCCCACGCCACAGCTCTTTACCAGGAAGAGGTCCTGGTCCTCAGAGTGACCGCCGGGCGGAAGTGGTCCCCAGGAGGGGGTGGCGGAGTCCCCACAGGGCGGCACCCACCACCGTGCCCAAGGGGTCCGCTGAGGGGGGTCCTGGGGTTCCCTCCTGCAGCTTGGGATTCCTTTCCGCACCCGGGGTGCCGGTGCTGCCATCACCGCGAGCCGTCTACACGGCTCGCCCCTCTCTGCGCGGACAGGAAGTGACTCCCCCGAGTCCGGTGACTGCAGCCCCCCAACAACAAGACGGGGACTTCTGTGCGTGGGTGCCAGGCCGGCACCCGCCGTCCTGTCCCGTCTGTCGGCGTTGGAGGTGGGCGCGGTTTTGGGAAGGGCCTGTGGCGCTTTTGCAGTAGAAGTGTAGGGGCAGTGTACAGTTCCGTGCGGTAGGGACCGGGGCGGGCCGGGGTCCCCTGCCCAGCACCGCGGGGGTGGATATTCCACTCAGCCGCAGAGAGGCCTCGGCCTTCCTTGCGTCCCTCCGCTCCCGCCCAGACCTTGTGGAGTTTCCGCTGCGGAGTGGGAAGTCTTTAGAGATCGGCAAAGGACCAGAAAAAAATCATCTGAGAGAAAGTTTTTCAAATGTTTAGCCCAGAATCCTTAAGAAAAGATACATTTTAAACTGAAAAAAATAACATTGCTTTTCTCCTGGATGCACTATGTATTCCACCCCACTGCTTCGTTCCGTTCCTCCAAAGCTAAGGAGAGACTGGACCGGGACCCACTGAGCTGATCTTGCAACCCTAAGCCTCAGGACAGGCCGAATTCGAGTGAGCCGACCCGGTTATCCGACCCGGCCGGCAGGGAGCGGCGTGCCTGCCTCAGCCTCTGCCGAGCTCTGCCTGGGGCTGCTCGGCCCCGGGAGGCGCCCGCAGGGAAGCCGGGTCTGGCGGGAGGGCCTGGGTGGGGGTCGGGTCCCTGCGGGGAGTGGGCGCCTCGGGATCCGGGGCCTCGGGGTCCTGGAGTCCGGGATTATCGGGGTCCCTGGGGGCTGAGGTCCCTGGATCTGGGGCCCTCAGGGTTCCGGGGTCCCGGGGTCCCGGGCCGCCGCTGCCGGTCCACTCACTCGAGGACTCGCGGTAGTACACGCCGATCCGCTCCAGCTGCAGCGCCGAGTCGCCCACGTAGGCTCCGGCCGGGTCGATGCCGTGCTCCCCGCCGATCTCC